TCTTTGATATTTCTACCAGCTATAAAGAAAATCAAAGTTATACTCTATATTTATTCTTAAAAGGCAGTTAAATCTAAATAAAAAGTATATAATGGCATAGAGTACATATAAGTATAACCCTTGGAGATGAGTTATAAGTGTCTAGTCTCCCAAGAAGAATGGTGTGTTTCTCAGACCCAACATAAATATTTGTATATCTATATTATATAGGTACATAATGTAGAAATTTGGCAAAATATTCACACTTAACTGTTAGCAGAGTATCAGAGGGCACTAAAGTTACCACCACAGTCCTCCTTCACTTGCTTCCACAGCATTCTCCATCTCTAAGGAACTCTAAACCCAGTCATTTTGATTACTCCCTCTGGGTTTAAAATCCTTTCCCATTTCCCCCTACCACATTTGAGGATAAAAGAGACCAATCATTCCCATTTTACACAGGCCTATAAAGAGCTTCGCTTTATAGATTTAATATAGCTCTTTAGATTTATGAAAAGATTTATCCTATCCCCAGTTAGAGAATTACATTGGCTAGATAGTAATTGCACAGAAAATACCAGTTTATATTTCTGGGGCTGGAATAGTTATCACTTTTGTTAGGGATACTGGAAATTTATTTTTTATTTTTCATTTGTCCCTGCAGAAGTTATAGGTAGCTCAGCTGAAGAGGCAGGTTCAAGTCCACTAGACAATGTGATTTTGAAGGAGGTGGTATTACTCTATGAGTAAAACATGGATCTTGCATTTTAATGAACTTGAATCCAAATCCTGGTTCTGCATCTTACTTGATTAAGTCACTTAACTCTAGTACCCTTTAACCTCTTAAGTGAAGAGATAATAGTAGATAATTGTGAGGATTAAATGGTGATTATATAAAACATATAACAGAATGATTGGCACAAAAGTAAATACTGATATTAGTTATCCCACATACCAACTTGCTCCAATATTTAACTAGTTCACACACACACAAAGTAAAAGCTAATTTTTATTTTTTATTATGGTTTTGCTTGATTTAGAATTTCCACTAGACTTTAAAAATACTATTATAAAATTATAACTGCTTTCTGAAACTTCAGAATGTCATTTAGGACTATTTCTAATTATAAAATGTTTTTCAAAGTGTTAATTGCTCTACTTCCTGGATTTCTAATTTTCTTTGGCATTTTATAACCTCAAAACAAAGAAGTTCAAATCTTTTCAGAAAAATTCACATAATTGATGTAGGTAGTCTGCCCTCAAGGAGGTAGAGCTAACTCCCACTCCTTAAGTGTGCACACAGTGACTTCTTTTCAAAGAGTGTAGAGCAGAAAGTATAGCAAAAGAGTAACTTTACAGTGGAGGAACCTGGCCAGCACTACCTCAGCCAGGTGATCAAGGTCAATGTCAAAGTCATAAGTCATGTTGATCAAACGTGCTCTTGATATATGGTAAAATGAAAATAGTGCTTACCTCCAAATGAAAAAAGGTCTTCCCCTCAAAACTCAAAAATCTCAGTCTGATCATGAGAAAAACAGACAAATCCCAACTGAGGGACATTCTACAAAAGACCTGAGGAAAGTACTCCTCCAAACTGTCAAAGTCGTCAAAAACAAGGAAAGTCTGAAATTTGTCACTGTCTAGAAGAACCCAAGGATACAGAATGAATAAATGTCAAGTACTATCCTAAATGAAAGGTTGGAACAGAAAACACTAAATGTAAACTAAGGGAATCTGAATCAAGTATGGATCTCAGTTTATAATAATGTACGGATACTGGTTCACTACTTGTAGCAAAGGTACCATACTAATTTAAGATGTTAGTAATAAGGGAAACTGGGTGTGTGATATATGGGAACTCTCTGTACATATTTGCAATTTTTCTATAAATCTTTAAATGTTCTAAAATAAAAGTTTGTTTAAAAATACTAACAAAAATACAGTACAATGAATGCTATACAGGAATAAAAGTGTATGGACTATGGGAGAAAAGTAGCAGAGGAAAAGAATTCCAAATGAATCTTAAAGACTTTCTCTCAAAAAGACCAAATGTTCTTATATTTTGCATCACACCTTTAAATTTACCCAGGTGTATAACATATAGACTCTGGATATTCTGATCTACATCATTTTATATAAATATTGATGCTCATGTTAACTTCAGTATTTATGGAGACAAAACCAAATCATTTGATTTTTTTTTTACAAAAATAAGCCACAATCTAGCAAAATAGAAATTGTAAAGAAGCAGCAATCTGAGTTGGTGGACAGTGGAAAGCATTCTGTATTCAGCAAAGCATGACTTCCTCTCTCTTCCAGACTAACAGAAAAATAAATAGCCCTTTAGGCATCAATTGTATAAGTAAAAAATATTATCTTAATGATGCAGATATACTAACCTTACTACATGGAATTACCTTGGATACCCTTGCCTTATGTGATTTTTTTTCTGGGTGTTTCCTACACTCAAAGTTTTTATCTCTCATACTTTCTAAGCTCAAAGTCTTGGTTCTCTTTCAAGGCCACCTCAGATATTTCCCCATTTTGAACCTACTCTTGTTCATCAATAAGAATAACTGCTTATTTCTCTTAACTGTTATAATTGTGTGTCCCTCCATTACCTCATTGACTTAAAACAATTTACAACTGTTGTTTATAGATGTTTCTCCCATTTGGCTGTAAGCTTCTTAAGAACAGGGTCCACGTTGTGGACCTTCTTGCTTTCCACACACTATCTGACATTCATTCATCCAACAACCATTTATTCAATACTATGGAATGAGCAAGAGGGATAAATTACAGAGAAAATGTAACAAACTTTAACATTATGGGGAAAACTTCCCAAGCCAAGAAAGCTCTGAAAAAAAAAAAAATGAGAAGAACATTGATACAGATCAGGTTTACTCAAAGCACTAGCGAAAGTTTTGTATCACAGAACTAATTTATTTTTATAGCCAGTGTATATGTTTCTAAATTAAAGGTCTCTCTTCTACCACTTAGCTCATTTTATACAATCTGGAATCCCTGTGGTTTGTGTATAAAAAGCTGGTAGACCCAGAGTGAGTTAAATAAATCTAATCAATGTTCATTTTCAAAAGAAAACATGAATGGGCAGTAAGAATTTAGAGGAAGGAAAAAGACAAAAACTGTTTTTTCCTGGCATAGGCCTGAAGCCTAACTTGCGCCTGTCAAACTACCACAGAGGTTCTTAGCAAAGAATGTTTTCTTTTGAAACTTTTTACTAAACTAAAACATGTTGCTGTCTCAATGTAGACATACAGCTAGAATTATTTCAAATACCATTTTGGTGTAAGAATTCTTATGGACTATTTGGGTTCCTATTTATCTAGTAATTTAAATTCAATTTTTCAGAAGATCAGTACCAAAAAAGTATTTTTAGTTACTCTTGTCAAACAATTTCTGATAGGGCGATTTTAAGCTGCTGTTGTGCTCTCTTCTCTTCTCTGACATCTCTCTGCCTCAGTGCCAGACCTCCCGGTCTCTCCCACCGAGTTTAAGCACTCTTTACATCTCACGATCTATTCCACACCCCCAGAATGCAGTAATGATTTCTGAGTTTATATAAGGTTATGGAATGCTCAACACCCAATGTTTTTAATCCCCCAGAATAATTAACTTCATGAAAATGAATTCTCTTCCATACCAATGTTTCAGAATCACACAAAGATGTTAATAATTGAAATTTCTGGATGTAGTTGCAAATTGCCCTGTGGCTTTATTTGTTTTGTTCCCAGTGTCTTCTCTTCTAGTCTGTCCTTGGCCACACTACCTTAACTCTTCCAGACTTTTCCCCACAAGCCTGCCATTCCTGATGTTGCACGGATAAGCCTCCCCTGACACCCTAGGGAACCCAATGGACTCCTATAGGTGGGGACTGACTCTGCTGCCTTACAGGGTCCCCATCAACTTTTAATAAACTCTAATCCATTTCCATTTTTAAGAGTAAGGCATACTGAATATATTAATTTTCAAAATATTTCATTTTAAATGTTAGATTAATTGTGAAATAAGAAACACTCCATGGGTTATCAGCCTGACTCAACAGATTTAAAAAGCCCCAGTATAGTAGAGCCTAAGGGATCCCAACATGGCATTATCTCAGCTGAGTTCAAATCCTGGCTTTGCTACAAACTGGGCAGCCTTCAGGAATTTTTTCTGGATGCCTGAGCGTCATTCATTTGTCCAGATCTATTGTGTGCCATGAGCCACATATATTCAATGCCACGTGCCAAGGTCATAGAGGCGAACAAGGCATTTCACAGTGATTCACTAAACTGACCCCTAATGGGCTGAGTTTTTTCATCTTTAAAATAGAAATAATAACACCTATCTTGTAGGGTTGTAAAAATTAAATGGCTCTTTCTGTATGTGGCTTCTCACTACCTCTGCTCACCACCGCCACCACCACCACCACCACCACTACTCTGCCCCACTTTCTTGTCCCTAAAAGACGATCTCATTAAATTTCCCTGCTGAAACTCTTCAAGATGAAATGACTTTTGAGAACTAGACCAGGTCAGTTCACAGGAAGCCACACCTTTGGCCAGTTATTCTGGGGGCTGTCTCTGTGTCCTGTGCACAACCCAGAGAACAAGCAGGTGAGGGCATGCCATCCGCTGCCTGGAAATCCCTGGGTTTCCTCCACCCATTTGCTTATTCTTCCCAGGCTGTCATTTCAAGATGCCCAGTCAGATGGAAATGGCAGAGCATCTCTGTGTTTATTGGTGAGAGGTTTTTTTCCCAAAGAATTGCTTGGAGAGTCCTCAGGCATTGTTAATTAAAGCAAGAGAAAGACGGATAGAATACACCTTGTTGAAAACATCTTCACTTAAAACTATGTTCCATGAAATTGACATGTTTCCAAATGCACAATTATTTGGAGTTATTAGTTCACAGACTGAAAATTAAAGAAAGTATTTCTAATGGTGTTTGTGTGTTGAAGTTGAAAGTGTGACTCTGAGAAGAATCTAATGGTCAATACTGTGTGTATTTGTTTCTAGATTCTGTTAGAAGCTGTGTTGCAAAGCTGTTCTTCACCTGCTCCCTGAAGGGTCATTACTGCCTGTACAGTAAATCCAGTTTTATTCTCATCAGCCAAGAACCTCAGCTGTGGATACAGATCATGTTTCTATTTCAGCAGGTATGTATAAATTATGTGTTCACCTCGGCTCCTTAATGAGTTGGTAGGTAAGAGTTTATAGTCATTTTTACTGAATTGTTTGTTGATCATTTCATTACTTTCTCACATGGATTTTCTATAGTTTAGGATAGTTTCCTTATAAAAGACCTGGATTCATAATCAGGAGGCCAAACCTATTAATATCCTGAATATCCTTACCTTTAAAACAGAATGAAAAAGAAAATGCTTTTTGTGTGTTGACAGATGGTAACACTTATTGTGTGAACATTTTGTAATGCATATAATTATTGAATCACTAAGTTTACACCTGAAACCAATATAATATTGCATATCAACATTTCACTTTTAAAAATTAAAAAATAAGTTTAAAAAAGAAAGGGGAAATACTTTTTGTTAAACAATAACAAAACAGCTTATTTGGGGAAATAGTTTTCCTTATGCAGAACTAGCCTTTATTTCTACACAGTCTTCCAATCTCCAATTAATTTTAATATCAACATATCCTTTCTGACATTGTTAAGATATGTGCCACTTTTTTTCCATAGAATTTATGTATATAGATAAATTTACATAACAATGAAAAACTTGATGCAAGGATGTCAGCATTGATTATAAAATATTAGTAATAGAAGGGATCTTAGACATCATTTTACAGATAAGAAATTTCAAGGACAGAACTCAGAGCATCTGACTCAGTGGTCTTTTCATTGCTGTGCATGGATTAAAAAATACAATGGGAGGACGTGAGCAGGGCGAGCAGAGGCAGAAAAAAACAGAATGTCAATGTTATAAGATGGTTAAAAATTAGGCCAAGTGATAAAATAATGTATTTACTTCTATTTAAATATTTTTCCATAACAGCCCCAACAAGACTCAGCCAGATTTATTAAGAAAAAGTGAACTTCATGCCAAATATGTCATAATCAAAAGGTAGAACTGTAGTAATTAAGAAAAGAGACAGCTTAGCTGTGCCTTAGGAATACCATCTTTTCCTATAGTAAGTGTTCTTAAGAACATTTAATAATATCTCATTGAGAACAATTTACATTTTGATGAATCAAATTGTATGTGAATATATAAAAGCAATTGTTTTTTCTTCCTTCTCTTGAAATAATGACCTTATTTTCTCCTACTTATATTTTTTCAAATAGTTTTCATTAGCAATTTTGTATTTGGTCTCATCTTTGGCTTTGTTCTTAAGTTGTCAGTTTTCTGAAAACAAGACAAGAAAACTTGATTTTATTTTTGCCCCTGTGGCCCTATTTTATTGCCTTAGTCTGATTATTTGTCTTTCTCTTTAAGCAAAATCACCAAAAAGCATCTACTTTGCTGTCCTTCTTTGCTCCTTTCACTATAATGTTCCCTTTCCTTTTCCACACCTTTGATAATGTGTGATCTGGGTGAATCCTGACTTTAGGGTAAATAAAAATCAAGTCTTTGACTTGAAACTTGCAAACCCAGTACGAGCTTTGTGTGCTGTGATGATTCTCTCTCTTCTCTATCAATTTAATACATTCATGAAGTTTTCAAATTCACAGATTCCAATCTAATGATGATTAATTAAATCAGCTCCCCTTCTTCTTTAGGTGAAAAGTCATATGCTGTAAGTTTCTGGTAATAATCAAGAAATTCCCAAATGTGTCCACATTATGGACACAACTACATTATGGCTCTTAGCCTTTTTAAATCTTTGAGCCACTTACTTGAGGTACAACATCCTCTATTTTTCCCTACTCAGTATGAGAAACAGCTCATCTTGTTAATAATTGTTAGATTTTTCTGAATAAAAAAAACATTTTCATTTACTAATAGAAACTTTGTACACACAGATCACCTACAGTCTCATAAGTCATTGGATAGTCATTGACACAGAAAATAGGATTTTATAAGCCAGTATCATTATTTTATCACATCTCACTCATGAAGGATAATATATATGATATTATATGTATATAAATAATGTTTTTTGACTTTTATTGATGTTCTGTTGCTCTTATAAATTTATTCCCTTAACATGCTTATTTTATATTTATATTCAGGTTTACATTTTTTTACATATTAAATTAATATATACATTAATACATTTATATTAGTTTTATATTATTCAAGCATTTTATTAAAATACATCTTACATTTATACTTATAACAGCACATGATTGATAAATATACAAACAAAATTTAAATATTCCTTTGAAAATTTTATTTTCATTGACTTGAATGAAATCTATGTAAATGTGATTTGCTTTACATTAAATAACAATCATATTACCCAAAACTTAAGAGTATCTTGAAGCTCTAGGAATATTCACCCATTCTCCACTTAGGATTAAAGGTGTTTTCATTTACCTCACCACCCACTCACACTGTTCATATTTGAGTCATTGTATAATAAACTCATATTCAATTCCTATTCTTCATGATGTGTGTATAAATTGACTTTATATTTGTATTCTAGTTTTAATTTTATACTTAATTCTCAGATCTTTGAAAAAATAAATATGAATATTTTTATTAGCCATTTTCCAATGAAATAACATGCTTAGGAAATGATCAAGGTAAACACTACCTCATAAAGGTTAGGCTAATTTATAGAGATCAGTGTCAATGACCTTGAGAATCCTGTTCAATAATGTAAATTTTCTGTTAAAAAGTGAAAAGCCTAAAATGTATCATGTTTGATTTTGAAGATAGATTTCTTTGTCATTTTATTTAAATTTAAACCATGTTATAGTTCAGACCAAGCCCAAACTGCCTTACAGTCAACCAAACAGTACTGTTGGGAAAGGAGATAATGTGTTAGGTTTTCTCACTGATGCTCTTTCAGAGCCTGTTTCCTGAGCCCCTGTCCATACAGAGTCAATCTGTGCAGCTTCTCAGAGCTCTATGGGAGAAGACCCAGGAAGAGGGTGCTCAGAGCTTCGAAGCAGCTATGATGGAGTCCACCTTTCCACAGCAGAAGGTAAGTGTTACTTTCCTTGGACATTTTATTTTAAACCAAGATTCAAGACTATCTTGGGATAGTTTGCCTTTTTCTTCACAGTTCAATTTTTTCCTTCTTTTATCATTATCAAAAAATACTTGTGAATTAATGATTTCCACGTGGTGCTGTAGTGGAATCAGGACAGAGCAATCTGGGGAGACTAGGGTAGTTAACGTCTGTTAGGTAGAGCACAGGGTGCCAGACAGTGAGCCCTGCTCAACAAACAAGCACAAGAGAAATTGAAACAGAGAAGTGTGTTACTCACAGGTCCTGGAGGAAGGACACTGTAAAGCTTAGCAGCCCCGTGGGAAAGGCAAGGCAGGGGGCAGGCAGAGAGAGAGAGAGACACAGGTTCTGGAGCACATGCCTCTATTTGGGTCTGTGTATGGAATGCTCTGGGGTACCCAGGCCAAAGCCTGGCCAGAGAGAGCAGGGTCTTGGTAAGCTCCCCAGAGGTATTTAAGGGCTGCACAGGCCAGTCCTGGGAAGCAAGGAGACTGTTGATCACAAGGGCCATTGTGGAAATCATAGCAGGGACTTACATTTGCTTGTGACTCTGCAGGCTGTTATCTAGGGCATGTACTTGCAAGAGGGGCCTAGTGTAAGTTTAAGGCCTCCGCTTGAGGCTTGGCCAAACAGAATGGGTGCGGAGGCAGCAATATCACAGAGCAGCTCAGCTAAACCCGCAGCACTGCCATCTGAGACTCACAGACTGACATCGTACCACCCACTGAGAGCCACACAAGAACCACATGCATAGTGTGCAACAGAACACATTTCACAAAAGAAGGCCATGGACTCTGGGATTCAAAGGGGAAGAGCACGAGCAACTTGGACTCCAGGTTCTTTGGTACGTCACATTTCTTCCCTCCTACTTCCCCTCATCTCCTTGTCCTCTGCAGTCACCAAGAAGCAAGAAAATGCAGATAAGGTGGGCAGGAAGAGAGAGGGAACATGGTCAGGTGAGAGTCTGCTGACACAGGCAAGTATGATCTGAGACACGCAGCAGGGTGGCAGTGCGGAAATAGGGGCATCCCTCCCTGGGCACAGCTGACAGACCTTCCAAGCAAGCAGCTGAACTGGAAGAGGCCCCAGAAGTGCAGCTACACCCATCCATGCGGTGGGGTGAAACCCAAAGTGGACCTAAGGATGTGATCAGATTTGCATTTGACAAAGGTCACAGGCCTGGGAGTGGAGAGAATGAGTAGAGGAAACCTGACTGGAGCTCAAAAGGCTGCTTAGGAAGCTATCGCGATCAGCAGGTGGGAAATGAAGGGCTGAACCAAAGTTGGAAATTGTAGGAAATGGATAGATTCGAGAGCTATTTAAGTTGTAGAATTGACAGGACTTCGTGGCTGATAAGGAGAATGGAAGAACCAAGGACGACGCCAGGTGCCTTGTGTGGCTGAATAAATGAGGGTACCATCTGGGAAAAGGGAGACACAAAGGAAGCTGATGTGGAGGAAGGAGATGGAACATTCTGGTTTGCATATTTGAATCTGAGTTATCTGTGTAGATAACCAGGCCGTGATGGTGGCTGAAATGCCTCAGGGAGAAGGCCATGCCTGGAGATCTGGATCTGGGAGTCCTAAGGTAGCACATGAGCCGTGGCAGCAGATCAGATCCCTCAGAGAGAGTTGGGTGATGAGAATGGAGAGTGGTTCTTGCTCTCTCCTTAGTAAGTATTGCCAGGCTCTCTAAGCCCTTTCCATACTCAAAGGTTCTGATTATTCTTATTTTGCCTAGTAAGAAGTACTAGGCCTAGTAATAAGTACAGGATGCTTCCTGGGCAAATCAGAGGTTTTGAGAGTATATGGTCATGGTCTCTGTTCTTGTTTCACTATTGAGGAGAACAAACATGCCCATATTACATAAATTCAAAGTACAAATAAGTAGCAAATTAATAAGAAACTGTTACATTGTGAAACTAAATACCTCTTTCATGCTGAAGGATCACAAAAGGATGAGGAATGGGTGTGATTAATCAGAAGTTTATTTAGAACGGTCTGTAAGACACTGAAGATGCATCCAACTATTGCATCACTACTTTTTGGCTTTGGTTTAAGAATTAGATATGCGGTCCTAAGGAGAAAGGAAATGCCACAATGGTGTCAATGCAAAGTAGAATAGAACGCATATTTTGTTCCAATTTTAAGCTGTTACATCATGTTTAAAGATAATGTCTCAAAATCTTATTCATTTTTCATTGTGAACTATATTTTACTAGAGACAACTAGTAAATTAAGCCTTGGCAGGCTGCTTCAAGTCCTAAGAGAGTAAAAAAAAAACAACTTGGCAAACCAGTTTTGTGCATGCTCACAAGTATTCTTATTCATATTTTTTCCATTTTATACTAATAAATATTCCCCTGGGGAAAAATTAACTGCAAACCAAAATGTTTTTGAAATCTTTATAGTTAAGTAATTTGGTTTATACATAAGTAATAGAAAGAACTTTGGTATCTGGGATGGTACCTTATGTGGCAAAGTTATCTGCCTAGGTATTTCTCAAATCAATTGTCTCCTACTTTTTAATGAAGTATTCTGTCTGCTAAAGTCAAAATCTCTGTGAAAATGGTCCTAAGCGTGCTCTGCTCTCACTTTGTGTCAGTCAGGACACAAACTAGTATTTGAAAGTGACGCACACGTATCGTTGCTGTGAATGAATTAATCCTGCAACCAGCTGGATCCAGGTACACAAAGGAAGAAACTCCTGAGAAAATGCCTCAGTCTCTAGAATATAATGCTCTGGAGGGTCTGCTATTGTGATTGCTCTTTAATAGAATCTTGTAATTTCAGAACTAAAAATCAACAGTAGGATATCTAATAACTTACAGAGTGCTTGAGGGCAGGGATTGCTCCATGTTTACAGTTGCATTTGCAAGGTCACACAGTGCCTGGCACACCCTAGGCTCTCAATAATAATGGCTACCAACTGAATATGTAAATGAAGTCATTACAGTTTGTCAGTGGCAGAGCTAGGGCACATGAACGTACCATGGGACATCACAACTGTCACCAATACATCTGGTTCTTCTCTACCCTGGGCACATGAGATTCCTGCTTGTGGAATTAAGGTCTGGCCACGTGACACATGTCAGGCAATGAAATATCAGAAGGCATGTGCGTCATTCCAGACCGAAGCTTGTAGAAGCCAGCGTGTGGTTCTCTGGGTCCCTCAGTGTCCCCTGCTGGGGCAATTGCAGAAGCAAATGTTGATGTTGAGTTACCAGAAGAAGGACACAGCTTGGAATTCCAAGTCCTCCCAGAGAGGAGGGCTGCTCTGGGGAGCCACCCAGACCCACCGCACACTCTGCAGGAGGAGGACACAGTCTTTGGTTTTGTTAAGGCTAAAGTTTTAGCTATGGCAGCATGACCCTCCCAGCTTGATTTATACGCCTGCCACAGGAGTTAAGCATGTTGGCTCTGAAGTCAGATTACCTGCATTTAAAATCTGGCTCTGCCACTTCCCAGTTCTGAGACCTTGGGCTGTGCTCCAGTCTCTTTGTCTGTACAGAGGTGGTAATGCTAGCACGTACGTCATAGAGCTGATTGAGAATTGAATTAGTTAATACATAGAAAGCTCTCTGAACAGTGACTGCTATTGTAGTTTCTCTATAAATGTTAGCTAATATTCTGATTACTGACCAGCATTTCTTTCTCTCTCTTTCTCTCTCTCTCTCAAAAATAACACAAATTCAAATTTGTCTCAGATGTGTTGAGAGGTTCAGAGTAGAGGTAGATGAACCTGAAGGATAATCTCTCAGATGGCTGTACTTTTCTAAATTCACAAGATCAACTTTATCAGAAAACATTCTCCAAATGTCAAACACGAGTTTGCATATAGAATTCAAATGATCATTTACAAACTATATGTTAATTTTACACCGGAGTGGAAGTGTGAAAATCCTTATATTATACAATGCTATATTTTTAAGCTTCAAAAATAGAAGAGAAGTTTAATACTACTACAAAGCATCAGTTCAACAGTTCTAATAAGAAATAATTATCATCTCTAGATACTTACGTAGCAATTGAGCAATTGATAAAATTCTACATCTGTTTTGAATAATCACACATTCTGTATGAAAATTGTATTGATGTCTGTCTCCCTAATTAGACTGTTCCCCATGAGAGCATATGCTTGCCCAGTACCCAGGGCACACTTAGCATATAATAGGCTCTCAATAATACGTATTGATTGAATAAAATAAATGAGCACTGTTACCTCCTAGTTTACTTACTCAGTAAAGTAGAAGAGGGATTGATTAATTTTCTCAAAGTTACAGAACAATGGAGAGATATAAGACTTAAATGAACATAGTGACATACCAGGTTCCCAATTGGAAATAATGAATATGACAAAGGTGTTAATACTTCCCAATTCAATAGATAACTAAATTCCAATCTAAATTCTAGCAGGATGATTTTTGGTACTGTATGGAGTGAAAATATAACCAAAAAGATAAACAGGTGAGACTAGTTATAAAATTTTTGAGAGGAAAAAAAGTAAGAGCACTTCCTTAAATATTAAAATATACTATTAAGAAGTGTTATTATTAAAGCATTCCACCTTTATGGTAAGAATGAATGTAGAGATAAATGGAACAGACTATGTAATCCAGAAATCTACACAAATATATACCTATAATTGGTTAATGTATATATATATATATATATATANACATAGGAAAAGATGTTTAGACTCACTAAAAATCATGGAAATAATTGATTTAAATATTTTTAAATGATAAGCCACTTTTTAATGAGCAGACTGGCAAAAAAAAAAAAGTTGTGACAAGACAAGTTCCAGGAAATATGTGAAAAAATGAGAATGCTCACACACCACAGGTGAGAATAAACAGGTTTACCTACTTAGAAAAAAGTGCTTATAAAATAAATACAAGAATTAATTAAATTCATGAATGACAGCTAGCTGACATTTAAGGTGGGTGAGCAATTAGCTTTCCAAAAGTGTTC